GCCGCCTGACCGCTCTTCACAGAGCGCTCGGGCGGCTGCAGTATTTAAAGGGCCGGCCCCAGGAACGCGGCCGGCCCCCAGGTGCCGCGGCCCACCGGGAAATTTCCCGGTATCCCGGTGGGCCAGTCCGGCCCTGGTCCTATCCTATACCCAGACCCAGCATCACTCAACCTGAAGGCCTGGAGGTTGAAAGGGAGAGGCTTCTAGAGAAGGGTTTCTCGGCTGCAGTCACAGATACCCTGTTACAGGCTCGGAAGTGTTCCACTTCCTCTACCTACTATAGAATTTGGGATGCATTTTCTTCCTGGGCCTCTCCTAAGCATATTAACATATAGCATCCTGCTCTTAAAGACATCTTGGAGTTTCTACAAACAGGTCTGGATAAGGGTTTGAGCTACAACACCTTAAAGGTACATGTCTCCGCTCTTTCAGCTCTCACTGACCACAAATGGGTCTTTAATCCAGATGTATCCAGGTTTCTTGCTGCAGTCCTCAAGATTAAACCTCCGATCAAGCCATTTGCTCCCCCATGGGATCTACCACTGGTATTGCAAGCTATGAATTCAGCTCCCTTCGAACCCTTGGAGTCCATCTCTCCACATCTTCTTACCATCAAGACCGTTTTACTGGTGGCATTAGCATCAGGGAGAAAGGTTTCGGAGCTCAGTGCCTTATCAGTCAAGGAGCCTTTCACGGTGTTTCATAGAGACAGGGTGATTCTAAGAACCATCCCCGAATTTTGCCCTAAGGAAACCACAGCCTTTCATGTGAATGAAGACATAGTGCTTCCAGCCCTGACGCAAGAAGAACATTCCCAAGAAGGAGGTTCTTCTCCACTAGATTTAGTAACATGTTTAAGAATCTATTTTGAAAGATCTCTTTGCTGGCGTTCGTCGGATCAGCTATTCATCATCCCGAATGGGACTAGGAAAGGTCGCCAAGCTTCTAAAGAGGCCGTGAGCAGATGGATTGTCTCCGCTATCATTCAGGCTTACCGTGCCAGTGGGGTTCCAGTACCTAGCGGTCTAAAGACTCACTCGACCAGGTCCCTTTCCTCCTCTTGGGTAGCCGCAGCAAGAATCTCTCCAGAGTTTATCTGCAGAGCATCTACATGGTCTTCGGTGAACACCTTTATTCGACATTATCAACTAGATGTCAGAGCGGGTCAATGGGACAAGTTTGATAAAAGTGTCCTTTCAGCATCCAACTAATGTCTTTCTTTTTGTATGATTTCACTTATAGATGTGCTAATACACTTGCATTACAAAATATTTGGAGTCCGTGTATTCTTTTCCCTCCCTTGGTTATTGCTTGGGTATTACCCATTGTTGTGCTGCCATGGATATGGCCAGGAAAGAGGAAAATGTATTCATACTTACCGTAATTTTCTTTTCCTGGTCGTAGGCCATGGCAGCACAAAGATCCCGCCCAGGGATATTGCTGGAAACACGACTGAGGGTAGGAGGGGTAGGAGGGGGTATTTATACCCTTGCTTTAATTAGTTCCTGTCTAACTAGGGCTGGGGAGGAGCTATCCATTGTTGTGCTGCCATGGCCTATGACCAGGAAAAGAAAATTACGGTAAATATGAATACATTTTCCTCTTTCTGTGTTTGTTTGGGAAAGAGTGTGTAATTGAGAATGCGAATCTGAGTGTGTGCCTGGAAATATCTCCTGTGTTTAAATCTTTGTGCACATCTGGGAGTGTGTACCAGGGTACCCGAAAAAAAAAAAATATATATATATAGCCAGTTGCAGATACATATATATCTGTAGAGGACATGTCATATAGTCTATTGGATATAGTATAGACTTGACTTCTCTAGGGCAGCTAATAACATAATTGGAGTTTAACTAATCCAGTGGTGTCATGGGGGGTGGGGGTGGGGGCAGAGACATTATTCATCTATTTCTTGGTGATGCCCTAACATTAACCTTTTAACCTTTTACCACTTTGGAGGTATCTAAAAGAGAACCACAGAAAGGACGGGGACATCCTGCTAAGAGTCCCACCGCACTTTCCTCGCAAGCCATGTGTTATATTTGGCTCCAGGCTTGTGAGTTGAACTACTTCATTTTACACTGTAATTTATATCTATTTATTGCATATTATTATAATGATGATGATATTTATATAGCGCCATCAAATTCCGCATTGCACTATTTGTTGCATTTCTTACTATTTTACAGATTTATTGAATGCTCCACCAACCTTTGTATGTATTCCTTATGTTTATTTTTAAGTGGTATTAGGGGAATCCGCTTAGGTGTTTGAGCATATTTTTTTTTGCAGTGCAAAGTAATGTAACAACAGGCGTGGGGTACCCCAAAGGAATTCCCCTCACTATTTTCATCATTTCTATATTGGGGTGTTCAAGGTTACATGCACATTTTTAAGTTGATTGTGAGGACGTTGATCATGCTTAAATGTAACAGTATGCTTACATATGGTGTGTTGTCGTAGCGTGGTTGCATAAATCAGGCAATATCTTAACAGTACAGTATTGTCTGTTTCTTGTACAACAATTAGCGTGGTCATGGGTTTGTCTAATTTGTCTAAGGCTGATGTAGGGGTGACTCACATCTAGCTTGTCGAGCGTGCTGGTAAGCTTGTATGTGTGTGGCTGTACTGTCTGGACTCGCAACAATACAGGGAGTGCAGAATTATTAGGCAAATTAGTATTTTGACCACATCATCCTCTTTATGCATGTTGTCTTACTCCAAGCTGTATAGGCTCGAAAGCCTACTACCAATTAAGCATATTAGGTGATGTGCATCTCTGTAATGAGAAGGGGTGTGGTCTAATGACATCAACACCCTATATCAGGTGTGCATAATTATTAGGCAACTTCCTTTCCTTTGGCAAAATGGGTCAAAAGAAGGACTTGACAGGCTCAGAAAAGTCAAAAATAGTGAGATATCTTGCAGAGGGATGCAGCACTCTTAAAATTGCAAAGCTTCTGAAGCGTGATCATCGAACAATCAAGCGTTTCATTCAAAATAGTCAACAGGGTCGCAAGAAGCGTGTGGAAAAACCAAGGCGCAAAATAACTGCCCATGAACTGAGAAAAGTCAAGCGTGCAGCTACTTGCGATGCCACTTGCCACCAGTTTGGCCATATTCAAACTGCAACATCACTGGGTACTTTAAAAGCACAAAGATTGTACATGCTGGGAACATGGCCAAGGTAAGAAAAGGCGAAAAGACGACCACCACTGAACAAGACACACAAGCTGGAAAGCGTCAAGACTGGACCCGAAATATCTCAAGACTGATTTTTCTAAGGTTTATGGACTGATGAAATGAGAGTGAGTCTTGATGGGCCAGATGGATAAGGCGTGGCTGGGTGGTAAAGGGGGCGAAATCAGTCAGGCTCGAGCCAGCAAGGTGGAGGTGGAGTACTGGTTTGGGCTGGTATCATCAAAGATGAGCTTGTGGGGCATTTTCGGGTTGAGGATGGAGTCAAGCTCAACTCCCAGTCCTACTGCCAGTTCCTGGAAGACACCTTCTTCAAGCAGTGGTACAGGAAGAAGTCTACATCCTTCAAGAAAAACATGATTTTCATGCAGGACAATGCTCCATCACACGCGTCCAAGTACTCCACAGCGTGGCTGGCAAGAAAGGGTATAAAAGAAGAAAATCTAATGACATGGCCTCCTTGTTCACCTGATCTGAACCCCACTGAGAACCTGTGGTCCATCATCAAATGTGAGATTTACAAGGAGGGAAAACAGTACACCTCTCTGAACAGTGTCTAGGAGGCTGTGGTTGCTGCTGCACGCAATGTTGATGGTGAACAGATCAAAACACTGACAGAATCCATGGATGGCAGGCTTTTGAGTGTCCTTGCAAAGAAAGGTGGCTATATTGGTCACTGATTTGTTTTTTGTTTTGTTTTTGAATGTCAGAAATGTATATTTGTGAATGTTGAGATGTTATATTGGTTTCACTGGTAATAATAAATAATTGAAATGGGTATATATTTGTTTTGTTAAGTTGCTTACAATAATTATGCACAGTAATAGTCACCTGCACACACAGATATCCCCCTAACATAGCTAAAACTAAAAACAAACTAAAACTACTTCCAAAAATATTCAGCTTTGATATTAATGAGTTTTTTGGGTTCATTGAGAACATGGTTGTTGTTCAATAATAAAATTAATCCTCAAAAATACAACTTGCCTAATAATTCTGCACTCCCTGTATACATAGGATAAGAAGACTTTGCTTGTTAAGCTAACGGTAGATACATCTGTTTATAGGCTAGTAGCAGATTCAGCTCCTGGTCGGCAACCCAATATCATTCAAACACAAAATTTACTTTAACCCCTTAAGGACCAAACTTCTGGAATAAAAGGGAATCATGACATGTCACACATGTCATGTGTCATTAAGGGGTTAACACTAGCTGAGCAATATTGCCTGCCTGGGTATCAATGGGCTAGAATATGGCAGTTAGTCCTGAGGGGGGCACAGGTACCTCGCTCGAGGGCATGTGGCACTGTCAGCCAATGCCTCGGCTTAGTAGATCCACATCTTCCCTGAGAGTCATCGGCTGCTGGCTTTGATGCTTCGCCGGGCAGAGTCCCGCATGCCTGGTGTATAGAAGAGTATCTGGGAAGTTGCTTAGGGCTGTAGTAATGGGGGAGTTCTTGTGCCAGGTTGGGAGTCTTGTCGCTGCAGGCCCGGTATTCACTTGTTGTCAGTTGCCCTCCAGGTCTTGGTCTTCTGCCTGAGTTCCGTTTCCTCTGGGCAGAGCTGTGGCGTATCAGTTGCAGGGCTCCTCTTCTGCCCCGGGGTTG